TGTAAAAGGCAGATTTTTGGCGTCGTTAAATCTTGGCGAATCTACGATCGTGGATGGTCGGAATTTATAGGATGGATGGGGGTGTAAAGCGACCCCGTGATGGGCAAAAACGATTCTTATCCGACACGCACGCATCGCTATCACTTCCAGCTGTGAATCTCGTCGCAAATTGGCAATGAAAGAGGAGCGTTGAGTGGCGGACAGAGACGGATACAGGGACGGACAGGCGGATAGGAAGGGTAGCAAAGAGGAACGGGGAGCAAGATGGAATAAACGAGCGGAGAGGACAGGGCGATAGGCCGATAGCCGATCTCTCATTCCGCAATGCGGGCTTTCGCACCGCCCTATATACGTACGTCACCGTGCTGGCCACCTTGTTGTATTCCACCGTTGCGCCGTACCCCGTAGGACCGATGATCGGTGAGACAAATCTGGCCGAAACGATCCAGCCAGAGCCCCCCTGGACATCGTGGATCGTTTCGATCGATGAATTTTCTCCGCTGGGGACCGGTGCAATCGGAGGAAATCGATTCGATCGGCCGATTTCTTCGATTGAAGACCCGTTTCGGCGAATGGATCATAAGTTATCCGTTGGATTGATCGAAATGTAAACTTTTTTTTCTTCTTTTTCCTTTTTTTTTTTTTTTTACGTCCTCGAATAGATACGATCTCTCGGATCGTACAAGTTGTTTTGAAGATTTTTGTTCACGGAATCCGTAAAATATATTTGGACCATGTGCGAAGATACTAGTTGTAATTAAGACAAGAATAGGAAACAACATTTTTTTCATTCTCATCGAGAAAATTTAAAGATAGTACAAATCTTTCGAATTCATTTCTGTAATAAAAAAAAATTCTTATATATCTTAATAATAATCTTAAATATATCTTGGAAATTTTCATTCGTAATATAACGTAGGTTTCGATAAAAAGAAATAAAAATAGGAGAAAAGAGAGAGAGAGAGGGAACGGGTGAAAGTAGAGGAGGGCGCATAAAAAATGAGACGAGAGACCGCCACTTCTTTAATCAACGATTCAAACAACGAACAAGCCGGCGAACTTTTAACAAATGAGCGCGGTCCAGAGCTTGTTCCCCGCTTTTTTAATGAACCAACTCCGCGAATGTTAACGCGCCACGTATCCTCGACTGCTGTCACCGCGTCGCGAACGCAAAACTTTGCATTCGCTCGCGAAATAACGGCCACGACCACCGGCCAAGAGGGAAGATAAACGAGGGGGCCGTTTTTCGGGCCGAGTATCGTCCTGTTGCGACGTTTCAGATCGATGCTTCAATTATTTTCCGCGAAAATCGATCTTGTGTCGTCGAAAATTCGACGATGAAACAAACAGAGGGAAAAAGATAGATAGATATCGTTAAAATATATATTCAATTCAATGTTCCTTTTTCGCCGAGATATCCCTGCTTTTTCGTCAATTATCCGTGTACGGTGTCCTTTGAAGATAAATCGTGACAGCTTTTCCTTGTTTCTTCTTTCTGAAATTGAAATTGTTATATCGTTAGGGGAAAAAACGAACAATTTTTCGTAGAGAATAATAAAATTTAGTTATTTTTTTTTTTTATTGGAAATATAATAACTGGTTTGATATGCATATGAGGAATTATTAGCAATTTTAATATTAAGAATTTTGAAAGGACACTTTGTAATTTAACTTTTATAAGAATAATTTATGAAAAGTTTCTGTGGTAAATATCTCGTATCTTATGAATACGATTATTACTTGTAATTATCGAATCGATCGTGCTTTAAAAAATATTTAAATTTTATGGAACTTACAGATATTTGCAAAACGATTTATTATTAAAACGATTCAATCAGTAAACCGAGAAAAATAAGCAAGGAGATAGTTTCATCTTGAGTCTTTCAATCTTATTATTTAAAATATTCAATTTATCAATTATTTAATAATGCATACATTAATTAGTTATGAAAAAGAAAAAGGTGAAAGAGAATAGGTCAATTAGTACGGGAATAAAGAGGAGCTAAACCAAACTCAGCCACTCAAATTCGCGCCATTATAATTTACTCGAGCGTGAAATTATCACCCATTACACTTGATCGCCGTATTCGCATCAGGATTAAACGTGTCGGGAAATAGGCAGCGTAATCAACCTAGATACATATACCGCCAAATAAAGGAGAGAGAAATAATAAGATAAAGATCGAATATTGAAGAACGAAATTCCAAAAATTAATTTTCATCGATAAAAATAAGGAAAAACATCCGATAATGTTCGATTCAACGTGATGAAAGTTATATTATTTTCCTTACACCCCTTCGATTACTTTTGTTATATCGTTCTTTCAGTTTCTTTCTCCATAACTTTCCCTTCTATCTGAATTATTTTTTTCTTTTTTTTTTCTCTTCTTTTTTTTTTTTTTTATTGGAGTTCCAGTTCTTCGATTTATCTTTCCTTCTCTTTCATTCTTTTCCAGTTCTATTCCCTTTATCCACGTTTTTCTTTTCGTTGATCCAGTCTCTCCAACCTCTGCTAAGAGCAGTCGGATAAAAAGGATTAATTGTCGAGTCCCCTGCTGCTCTTTCCCTCGGCCGAAAGCCGATACAACAGCTCATTATCGGATAGCTCGTAAAGAGGGGTAAAAAGAGCGATATCGAAAGAAAATTGTTGGGAAGATATTCCATATTTTATTCGAAAGGTGATTAAGCTCGAACCACGAGAGTTAACGATTCCACGTGGATTCAGCGGTTGGTAAATTTTAATAATCGTGTCCACGATATGCATAAAGTTAATTAGAAATCAGATTTCTTCGATTAAAAAACGATTAACATAACCCGATGTGAGATATGTAGAAGATAGATTCTAAAACATCTTTTTTTTTTTTTTTTCTTCTTTTAATTACATTAGCACCTTTACATTTTTTTTTATAGTCAGTGTACAATATTTTTCCAATTTTCCAATACAACAAATCGAAGAGAATAATTTTTGAATTCGTTCAATTTTAGAAACATGATAATCGTAATGGAACGATCTTTTTCCAATTATATCGCGGCAGATAAATGTTCCAATTACGATGTATCCAACGCGTTGCACTCGACCTTCCGAATTAATACAGTTACAGTTACGTTGATAATAATAATAATAATAATAATAATAATAATAATAATAATAATAATAGTAACAACGTTTTTCAAATTTCATTCGTTTTTTTTCCTTTTTTATTTTCTCGTGCGAAGAGCGTGAAGTCGGTTCGAAATTTCTCGTTCTCGGAGGAAGGTCGAAATGGCTGAACAATGCGACGTGTAAAAGAGGGGTGAATCGAATGTTCCTCAAAAAATTGAAAACCGCTCGCCCCAAAACAATTGAGGGCAATAACTAAACGAACTTCGTTACGAAGGGTAAAGGATGTACGGGGTCGTATTTGTTAAACCCTCCGCGATCGCGGAACGTGACGCGCGTATTTCCCGTTTCGAAAAGGAAGAGCTAACAATATGTTCCATAGAAATTCTATTCTATTTTCCAAAGTAACGAGCAATGACATACTCGCCGATATTAAATCACGATATTTTCCAATTTATTCTTCTATTCATAATACCTCGAAATTACTTACAATCTTACAATATATACGGTGGTATTATTCATTTATAAACCGTATTAAAATCACATTAGAATTGAAATAAATTGTATTCTATGTACAATTACTATTCAATTGCTAAATTAAAATTTTCACAAAACAAATTACGTAAAATCTTTCTTAATATTTAGATCTTAATTTGTAATCTAATAATCTCGCGTTTCACGTAGAAAATATTGTGGAGAATCAAAGACGGGAGAATACACCGCGAGGGAATAAAAAAGAGATAAAAAAGTAAAGGAGAGAAATGACCAAGTTCATTTAAACCGGAAACGTCAGTTTCGTCAATCTTGCCGATTTATTTCGACAGATTCTTAAACGATGATGGTGGAAACGGTTCGCCAACACGAAATATCTAGCGTGGAATTCAACTCGACGAGGCTCGAGCCGACTGGTAAAAGTGAATTTTCGAAATCCGCTCGGTTCGGGTGCGAACGTGCCGAGCATTTCGGTATCGGGGCGCCGAAAATTTTTATCACGTCTCACGGCGAACTTATTGCTCCGAAAGGGATATCGATGTGCAGCCCGGCTCCTGTCCGCCCCACGGACGAGATTTCTTCGTTTCCAGCCTCGTGAAGAAACGCTAAATACTTTGATATATCGGCGTTCTTACGATGGCACTTTTATCGGCCAGCTTTTCTTCTTTACGCGATTCTTGGATTTCGAAATACGCTGGAATGACGAATCGGATATTTGCCGACATTTTTCAACGACGTTTCTCTTTGCTCATATTCGCCACAGATGTCACCATTTGTCGCTTTTGCTTTAATACAATTAAAGGGTACGTAAAGTATTTGCTCATTGTTCTATTTATGGTAATATTCACAAATATTAAGTGATTAAGTAGCTTTGATATTGAATCATAAGCATTAATTGAAAAATAAGGATAAGACAATTTATTTCGCGTTTCATTTTGTAATTTGCGTTTTAACTTTAATGTTGTTTAATATAATATTTATAAATATTTACAGGTTCCTCTTGTACTTGTCAATTTTTAATTCAAGATTTTATAAAATCCTTTTATCCATCATCGATTTACCACTGTTATGTAAATGATTTTCCTACGAACTAAAAGTGATAATTTCTTGTAATTAAATCCATCTCTCGTAATTAATCCGGAATAAAATTTGCATGTCAAAAGGTTTTGTTTGTATATTTAATACAAACAAAAAACATTTCATAAACAAGAACAGTCGCTATTTTAAGAAATTTTTTCGCCCAAGAAATAATTTCGTTAAAAGTAACGTCTGGCGAGATAAAAATATTTTGGAAAATATAATCTTCTTGATTATAATTTCACGTCGAATTTTTCTCTCGAGCAACGTTGTCCGTTTTATCAAATATGTTTTTAATATGTTATTAATATATAAAAATGTTTGATTTCAGAGCGTCACGTGGGGCGAATGGTCACCATGGTCCAAATGGTCCAGCTGTTCAAGGTAAACAAATTTAAATTTAGATAATTTGATATAAATATTGAAAATATAGAAAATATGCGCAGTATTTTGCACAAATAAGTCAAGAATTTCTCTTCGTCATTGGTTGCAATAGGAAAGACACGTTTAACTCATCGTTATCTCTATCACTTTTGACCTTAATAATGATTCATAAGAATAAGTTATGAAAGTAACTAAAATGACGTAATGAACGATAATTCGCTTTTTTTTTTTTTATTGTAATTACTTGTAAATAACCGTGACCCTTGTGTTATCTTTGCTATGCACCAATTTCCAAACGTCACGGATTTATCACATGTTTGCTCTTCTTGCAGTCTAATGCAAAAAAAGATTAAATAATAACGTCGCCGTTCGATTACACGCGACATAAAAAATCGAATTACGACTCGTTCGTGGAAATTCATATTTACATAAGCAATAGAGATATTACTTATTTCCTACTTTTAATTTCTTACAAATTAATTTCGAAATATATCATTTTATCTATTCTCACAATTATATATATATATAATAAAAAAAAAGAAAAAATTTTAAATCATCAAAAGATTACTTCTTCACGAATATCAACGATTTCCAATATATTATCTGAATATATAGTCTGAATATTGGGAACAAAATGTTGAAAACAAATTGGAAAACGTCTTTATTCGCAATGAAAATATAACTTTTAAAAAATTATTGGGATTCGATTATTGCAAGCAACGAGTTCGATCACGAGATAGGATGAATATCGAGAGGGGTGCCCGTTGCGGTATGTCAACACGCTGCTGGAATGTTAAACGTTTCAGAACTCATTTCGACAGTGGTGGAGTTCCGGTGGCGGCCTTTGAAGCGGCCAGCTCGTTTTTCAGCCGGCCAGAAGCGGCCCAGACTGCACAAGCAAATAATTTATGACGCTTACCATTGGTGAACTGCACTCGCCCTCCCGAAGGAACTTATTGTATGATGTACGATGCCGTACATTCGATCCTCTAAATCTTCCTTTCCATTTCTCTTTCGATACGATTGTTAAAAATCTTGGAGCAAAGAGAATCGTCGTAATTTTCCAACGTTTTGAAAAATTAAAATTCTCTTCTTCGATGCTCTCTCGTTTCTTTTGAATCTTAAAGTCCACGTGGCCATGTTTGAAACAAATTCCAAGTAACGACGTTAGGAGTGCGAGCTACCGACCCGTATATGTGCCTGGGAGCTCGAGTGCCACTTAAATTTCTCGAAACGAGTCATTCGCGATCAAGGAAACCGTATGATTTTACTTGGTACTTCGAATTTTCCGGTTACACGTTCTAATTTTGCCATGTACTTTCATAAACGTGGAAATTTCAGAGAGAGAGAGAGAGAGGGATAAAGAAGAGAGAAACGAGAAACGATGGAAATGTATATTTTTCGTCGAATACGTTTCTTTTCGCAGGGAACAAAGTAAATAACGTTATATTTTTATAATATCCTCCCTCATCTTAATAATAATGTTATTCTCCGTGTTGTTACAAAATCTTCAAGAGGGACGCATTATTCTTTCCATTCTCGTTACACACGAAAACTCGTGTCAGAAATTTCACCTACGCTCTTTGTTAGTATTATTTTAATACGTTGTTTCTCTTTTTAATTACGCTTGCTCTACTACTTCGCAGGAGCTGCGGCGGAGGGATTTCTCGACAGCAGAGGCGCTGCAGAAGAAAACCGTGCAAAGGTAGATCGTGGAACACGAAATATAAAATCTGTAATCCTGAGGTAAGTCATCGAACAAGTATACACGTTACATTCCATGATTCCACGATTCCCATTTCGAAATCTCTTCATCTTCCAACATCTTCTTCTTTGTAACTATTTTTTTTTTTTTTTTTTTAAGTATTTACAACACTTATTATTATTAACAGGAATGCGTTCAAACGTAACAAATAGCCCGATGACGCACAAATGTGATTGTATTATTTACACGTTCATTCGATGATTTATCAACGACGACCCAATTCACGGTTGGGATAAAACGTCTCGCGATCGTTAAATTCGCCGCGATTTATCGAAAGTTTCTCGAAAGGGTTAAGCAAGATACGGTTGGCGAGGCAAATCCTGTTTTCCAACGCCTACGTAAACGGCATTGGGAGAGGCGGTCGGGGGTGGAGAGAATCGAGGGCGCGGCGTATCGCGGCGGAATACTACGAGGCAGCTTCAAAAGTTGCCAGTTAAACGACGGAGTTAACTTCGTTTCGTTGTTTGCGCGAACCGCAAATTTCCTCCAGTTACTCAGACCCGGAGCCGCCCTGGTGCCGTTATAATCACGCGGATGTACGTGTTACTGGGTCTCGAGAATCAGACAGAGATGGCAGAGAGAGAGAGAGAGAGAGAGAGAATCACCATCTGTCTCTCGCGTTCTCGTTTGTCCCGTTTCTACTCGCGTGACAACTTGCTCTCGCCTTGCGCTTTATCCGCGATAAAGGACAGAGGGGAAACACGATGCAACCAGTTCCACGGGTCGGTGCCTTCTATCTCTGCTTCCCGTTTCCTATACGCTTCACTCTCTGTCTTACACCCGGTTGAATAGAATTATATTGATAAGCCAGCTGGAGGAATAATTGAATTTAGCCTAATACAACAAAATATTTTGGATGGATATATTAATTATTATCTGTTCTGCACGACGATTTTTGACGATTATGGTTTTTCCAAGTATATTGGTAGTATACATATTATGTAGTGATTTATTTTATGATTCTTTTTCTTTTATCGATGAAGTAGACACGAATATAATATACGCTAAAATAAAAAAAAAAAATAAAATTGCTTTCATAAATTAAGGAACCATGTTAGAAAATGTAAACGTTGCATGTTGAGCAACTGTAATAGGTCATGGTATAAAATCGTTAAAAAAAAATTCCTTCGTGCCTATAATGTGGAATAACCAAATAATATCAAAGAAGGTCATTTCTCTTCGTTCAAACAAAAAGAAAAAAAAACTCTCGATAGCCAATTGCGTCACTCTCGATCCGTTCGACAAACAATTTCCACCTACACGAACGCGCGTATACTTAGTGACACAGGCGCGAACGAAATCGGGCAAAAGCGAGGAAGTCATCGGAGAGGGACAAACATTTCATGCGTCAAAGAACGGCGGGAGGTTGGCGTTCCGCGGCCAATTAATTGTTGGACTCGTTATTACGCCAACCTTATGCCAACAGAGAGTCGAGCAGAAATTACGCGAATTATCAATTCAAATTGGACGGTCAGCTGCGGGTGTCACGTATGACCGTGTCCCAAACCTGCAAGTGCACCGAATACGTGGCGCGCTCTCTGCAGCACCCGGCCATACCCCAGGGGATGCACGGATGCAGCTGACCCGACCCACATTCCGAATCTGGGCCGAGTTTCGACCCCGTCCGCGGACACACGTGCTCGTCCTTCCCATTGATATCTGCCAACTCGATATTCCGTCGAATTTACTCGGGCCATTTTTTCCCTCCCCTTTCTTCCCTTTTTTATTTTTCTTTCCTTTCCTTTCTTTTCTTTTCTTTTCTTTTCTTTTCTTTTCTTTTCTTTCTTTTCATTTCTTTTTATATTTTTCTTCTCTGTCCTCTCTCTTTTTTTCTACAATGAAAATGAAAGGATCGCGAATTGTCTCGGTCACGCGTGCCTCCTCCTCCCCATTTTGTGCGTTCACAACACGATTTTTCCTAGGTGAAAAAAGAAGAGAGAAATAGGGGATGGTGAAAGGGGAGGATGGGTGAGTGACGAACGAACCGCAGAAAAGTTGCGCCGTTGCGGATCGTAAATTCAAGGCTGAAAATCGATGCCCTCCACCCCCTGGTGTCCCTTTGTCAAGCTTGTAAAAGTATCCCTCCGATATTTTCGCCCTTTACGTAACATTCTGTTTGCTTAATCCGTGCAACCGTTCGATTAATTTTTCATATTGCTTTTATTTCCTTCGTTCGTTTGTTATTTTTCTCTCTCTCTCTCTCTCTCTTTTTTCCCTCTTTCTCTCTCTTTTCTGTTGTTAGAGAATTAATTGTTGAATTGTTGAGAAGTGTTCTTCTGCGGGGAGTTTCTGCGGTCTCTCATTCCCCGCAAACGCGGATTCGCGGTTCGAGAACTCGTTAATTTATACGCGTTGATTGTTTAGGAATAAATATAGCACGATGACGATGAAATTTCTTATTGGAAAATTGAAGGAAGATATTCATTCTTCGATCCTTCCGTTGCTCGATTGTTTGTGTTTTATTCTGAGAGAAACTTTTTCTCGCGGATCGATGCCTTTATGAATATTGGAGAAACGAAACAAAGCACTTCTGGAATATTGCGCAATTATCATGGATTGATGCGTAATCGGTCACTTCCGATGCTTTCCCCTCTCGAAACGTTTGTGTGTATTTCCATGGCAATTTATTTCTTGAAATTTCTCAACAACCTTCTCAACAACAGCCATCCTCCGTCTGTCTTACGGAAGGGGTGAAAATAATTATTCGTTAACTCGTATTTGTATTTATCGGGAAATAACTCGAACAATTACCAACTACGAGTTGAAAAACGATAGACAATATTAATATCTCCGTGTACAAAAATATTCCAATCAATTCTATGAATTCTATAAACAATCAAGGACCCAATTTCAATATCAATAAAATCTTGAAAAATCCATCAAGAGCGTTCATTGCGATTTTCCGCGACCTCAACCGTTTCACTATTACTTTTCCAACATTATAAAACAATTCAATCAATTCTACAAAGATTAAAAAATCAAAAACGTTCAATATCGATATCAAATTTTCAAAATTCCATCAAAAACATTCACAGCTATTTTTCACGACCTCGCAATCATTTCCCTACTACTTTCTCACCATTTCGAAATACTCTTCTCGATCAATTGTGCAAAGATTAAAAAATCAAGAAACCATTATCCATAAAATTTTCACAAAATTTTCACAAGTATTCATCTTTCACGACTTCGACCGTGAAAATTAAAATATCAAAGTACCGGATGATTCGAATTGGGACAAAATTTTCAAAATCTTCCATCAGAAATTCCATCAGAAACATTCGCATTCGTTTTCCGCTATACTCTACCGTTTTACCTCCTCGTCGAAGCCAAAAAAAAAAAACAAGGCGTCAACGACAAAGGGGATCTCGAGCAAAAGAAGATTGTCGCGGAATCGAATTTTCTCGTGGAACAAAGCGGCGGCGAGTGAGGGAAAACGGGAAACTCTCGAGTTGATGCGTTAAACGCGTTCAAAATGATCCGGCTCGATCTCGAGGGCAATCTCGACCCCCGTTTCACGTATAGGTCTCGCGTTGTCCTGGCATAAAATTGCATCTGGAATTTTTCGCGAGAGGCGAGGTCGGTAGTCGTCGTGTCGTGTGACCGACGTGACATTTGGCCCAAGGCTCGGTGTCGCGGCGGCGCCTCTATAACCTGGAAGGAGAGGGTGAGACCGCCTGCACTCGACGTTCGTCGTAAATGCACCCCCAACAAAGCTATCGATAGGTCACAAAGGCGATGTCGATCGTGGCAACCCTTCCTCCCTCCCTCCCCTTTTTGAAAACGGGTACGGGCCGCGCATACGTAATGCGTAATATCTCTTTCATTTAAACCGTGGCGAAACCGGCTTTATCGAGGCTTTGTTGCAACGAACGATTCTCTTTCACACGTTTCGCCGCCTGTAAACGTGCTGTCCATTACTGTGTTCCCGGGAAATAGGGAGCAACTAGAGGAGAGAAATAAGTCGAAAGCAGCGGAGAGTTGGAAAAAGGAGAGGAGAGTTGGAATTCGAGCGAGCGTGAAATTTGCCTCGAGGGAGAAGAGAGAGAGAGAGAGAGAGAGAGAGAGAGAGAGAGAGAGAGNG